ACATGGTCTTTTATGAAACTCATAAGTATTGCTTCGTCTAATAATGAACCACTGATCGTGATGTCCGTTGGTGCGCCGTGACAAGATACCTTTTATTTTTAGCTCGCTTTTCCTGATACTCACAAAAGTATTTTATCATTACACGAGGCTCTAGAAAAATATTTTTCCTTCACCCTCCTCCCCCCTCCTTTGATGTTACAAAGACAACCTTCGAATACCGTGAGCTTTCGGCCAAACTTTTCTGCCATTAAGCAAAAGAGACATGAACCCCGCGCTGAGGACGCAAGTTCCTCCAATACAGTTCTGGGCCCGGCGGCTGGTTCTTCAATGTCGTATCTATCCGAAAAATGGGTATCACCACATATTGATGGCTCTGAGAACATGCGCCAAAAAGAAGCTTCTATGCAGGAAAAAATAGAAGCTATATCTGCATCCCAGATGGAGTGCCTGGCGGCGACGGCCTTCCTGTTGGGCTCCCCGCTCCAGCGAGACCAACCCCGTGCGGGAGAAGCGGTGCAATCGTCAATGCGAATTGCGTATGAATTACTTGCACGCGAAATTGATCCAGAGCGCATCATTTCGGTGATTCAATCTCACGCCTCTGAGTTTGATCCTCCACCATAGAATATAACGTGCAAGTGCTGCAATTATTTAATCATTATGAACTATTATTTGCTTTGGAGTGCCTTCCATTCTCTTCATTCCTCCCTTCCTTCCCCCCTCCCCCCCCCTCCTATAAAAAATGGAATCCAGCAAAATCCCAAAATATTGAACTTTATCCTTTGCTCTTTTACTCCTCATTTATGCTTATTTGATTGAAACACGTATAAAAAGAAAGGCAGACACACCATACAGAGACAGATTTTGATTATTTATTTCAGGTCCCCCCACTTTCCTCCCCCCCCCCCCCTCCTACTCCATAGAATATTTTCCATGTTTCGTTATTGCAGAAATTTTTTGTCGGGTAAGACGGCCAAACGTCTTTCTTCTTGGACAGCAGGGGGCTCTACGACGGTGTGGATCTGCGGCACGATGGGTGGTGGTCTTTTCATCGTGGATGCGCTAACCGATCATTCGCCTAGGCGATTCTGTCGCGCGATGGACACGCTAGTACGAATTGTGGTGCTTTACAAGTACGCCACCCCCGAAACACCGGAGGAGTACCGTCAGCTACATCGTCGGTGTGCCGAGCTTCTCCTCCACCTATGCCTTAAGAACGAGGGGTTCTACATCAAACTCGGGCAGGGGTTGAACTCCATGAGCCATGTGCTTCCCCGCGAGTTCACCCACACGTTGAGCGTCCTGCTCGACCAGGCAAACCCCGTCCCCTTCGCAGAGATCCGGCGCTGCATCCGGGACGAGACGGGGTGCGAGATCGAGGAGCTTTTTGAGCGCTTTGAAGAGAAGCCCGTGGCGTCCGCCTCGATCGCGCAGGTCCACCGCGCGCGGATCCGGCCGATCGACGGGAACGGCGCCGCGCGGGAGGTGGCCGTGAAGGTGCAACGGCCCTGCATCCGCCGCCAGGCCCCGTGGGATCTCGCGGCGTTTCAGCTGATGTCGTTTGCGGCGCAGTACTTCTTTGGCCTTCCCACGGAGTGGGCGCGCAAGACGATCGTGGATGGCCTGCAATCGGAGCTGGACTTCACCCAGGAAGTTCGCAACGCCGCCGTCTTCCGCGAGAATTTCGCCCACGACAAGCGTATTTACATCCCGAAGGTCTACGACCGCTTTACAACATCCCGCTTAATGGTTCTGGAATGGGTGGACGCGACCAAGCTCCTGGATATCGAAGCCATTCGGGCGCAGTTTTGTGAAAAGACGATACTAAAGACGCTATTCGAATGTTTTAGTGATATGGTGTTCAAGTACAAGTTCGTGCATAGCGACTCACACGCGGCGAACGTACTGGTGCGCCGGCTACCTTCCAATGACAGCGAAGGCGATCCCGACATCGAGAATTCGCGCGCGAAGCCTCAAGCACCAGGGAGGAATCGGAAAGATATCCAAATTGTTCTCCTGGACTTCGGCCTGTGCGTGCCCATCTCAGAGCGGTTTCGGATGCAGTATGCACTTCTGCTTAAGAGTTTTATTGCACATGATATAGAGACAATCCGTCACGTCGTAAGGGAATGGGGTGTGAGCGATGAGCGGGCGTTTCTCACAATTCACATGCAGAAGCCGCTGAAACTGATTCAAAAAGGCCTTAATGGTGAGGTAAGCAAGGAAGAGATCGCTGCCATACGACGGGCAGCACACGCACGAATAAAGAGCCTCCTCACGGACGATTCTCGGCTTCCGCACGAGTTGCCCCTCCTCGCCCGGGGTCTTGATATCTTGCGTGGTAATAACCGCATGTATGGTTCCCCCATTAACCATCTCAAGGTAATGGCTAGCGGCGCGTTGAATTGTCTAGGGCCGATTCATGATCATGAGGGAGTGCAGCGTTATTTACAGCGCGTTCAGCAACTCACCATGGAGAGGTGCGTTAGTCAAGAGCAGCGAGAAAGTAGGGAAGGAGAAATGTGGATTGCGACAGGACATGCTACGGTGGTCCAAACTTATGGAAACGAACGCGAGGGCCATGACCATCGCCGCAAGAGAGGATTCACCAGCGCGTATGCGGAAGAATTGCAGCAATTGCGCTCCGCACAGTCGGTTGTGGTGCGTGAGCTGGATGCAGGGCAAAAAGCCTCCCTCCGGCTATACCTCACGACCATGTCTGCAACGCTTTATCAATCAATCAAGTTCTATACTATATTACTCTACATAGACTTTGTGCATCAGGTAACGCAATGGTACAACAGATGCCTCGCCTCGGTTGCTCCCGTGCGAGCGGCGGAGCACCTAAAAATGCCCACCCTGGATGAGCTATTTGACGACGTCAAGGCCATAAGCTAGTTCACCCTAGCGTGGAAAAGGGCGGAGAAGCTGTAAAGAATTGGCAACTTAAAAAAACATTATGTGCAGACACCTTTCTCTAAAATGTGAACAGATTACTCCTGATTCATTATATACATGAATATATTGTCAAACAGAAGGCTTAAAGATAACCCCAAACGCTTTGCTTAGCGTTGTGGATTTTCACTTGCCCTTTTTACTATTCACCCTCTTGTTACCTATAGGAACGGCGAATTAAAGGTGCTCAGTGCGTCATCACGTATCAGTTAAACCGCACGCTAAAAGTGGCTATCTAGACTATTTTTTCTGTACGTGTAAAAGTAATATGAGTGCAAAAATTACTCACAAGGAAAGTCTTCCTGGCCAGAACTACATCAAGCGTCGACGAACCGAGCCGGCACTCATTCTTGCTACTGAAAAAGATCAACCCAAGCAACACAATGGACCACTTAGCAATTCAGGCAGCGCGGATCCCCCGCCATCCTCTGCCGTGGATCCTGTTGGAACCTCAAAAATGGTAAGAAGTGAGGAGGATCGCACCAAATGTCAAACCTCGGCTTCACCATCGACATCCGAGGCGGAATCATCATCTTCCGACGATGATGATGAAGTCATTGAGCGAGAACGAGAGCGACTAGCTCAACTGCACAGAAAAAATGCAGCCCCCGGCGATGGCAGTGGTGAAACCGGACCCGACTCTGCCGCATCAGGAGGTACGCACACAAAAATTGGGAGTTATAACTACGATGTTCTCTTTCGTCGCCCCGAGTGGCAAAATAAACCATCTGAGAAGCCAGCAGACAAGTGGAAATCAGTTATCAATAACAAACAAGAATCAGAATCGTTTCGACAATTCATGAAAAAACACTTTAAATGAACCTAAAAAAAAATCCGTTGCGTGGAAAAATAGAAAAATCGGAGAATATTTTACGCTGGTAGTGAAAAAAATAATGAAATGATAATTCAGTTAGAAAATCAAACATTGATGCAAACAGCATCTGCTGATGTCAGGTAATGTTCTTCGAGCAATATGCTCGCCCCCCACCCTCTGAGGAGAAAGGGGGGGTGAATGCAAAGAAGTTCAATTTTGAAATTTGAGCATGTGCCTTTATTTTATTCATGTCCAAATCAGAGAATTGCCGTTAATGGTGCTCTCTTGCTTTTCACTATTCATTTTTTTTATTGCCAATTTTCGGTCAGTGGGGGAAGAAGGAAACATAGCTATTAACAATACGAATAATTGTGAAGTATTAAGACATAAATTGGTATATACACGTCTATTCTGTTTTAAGTATGAATCTTCAAAACGGAAGCCCTGATTCACCCCTCACGAATGATGATGGCAGCATTACTTTTGCCACTGAGGCGGCGCAAGCGGGGGACACCAATGATGTTATAGAAACTGAACTACCTGAAGAGACGGAGGGCTTTCAACCGCAGCTTGTTGAAGGAGACTTCTTCCCGGCCGCGGCAGATAACATAGGTATGGATTTCGAGCTCATTGCAGAGCTGGCAGACTCCAGTAATAGACTGATGATGACAGAGAGTGAAATAGAAATCCCAACACGAATCAGCAAGCCGAGGCGGTCTGCATTATCCAAAGGTGGCAAGGCCAAAAGACAGAAACGCGTTAGGTGGGCTGACGAAGTTGGTCCGGACAGCACGGACACTACTGGACGCCCGTTGCATCAACGGCTGATGAAGCATGTTACGGCCTTTTACATGCCCCTTAGCTCCCAAAAAAATTCGCTCTGCAGGGATGAGGCGGACAATCCAAATTACACCGCTCAATTTCCGACAGTAGGACCGCCGCCGCCTTCAATTTTCCGCGAAAAAGAAAACACAGATGGCAGTGTCTATAAATTCTGCAAGGCCCAGCGGCCCTCTATGTACTTCATAGAGTGGAAACGTCAACCGCATGGGGTTAACCAAGTCCCATTTCTCGCGCAGCCGGTGGAAAGTGACGCCGCGCCACAAAAAGCAATAACCCTTTTTAGTGCGTTACACCCAAAAGAACCGAAAGGCATCCCCGGCGACCATGCAAAGGCGAGAATCGCCACCAGTGCCTGCGCACCCTCCCGGTGCCCTCAGCTTCCCTTTATTCGGATCGACACTTTGCTAAACGAGCCGCTTCGAATCCTTCTCTAGCGGCAAAGCGCGGCGCACCTCCACGTACAAGCACCTTGAAACGACATACCCCATGACAGTGCGGAAAACAATGGGCGGGCGCGTTTGCTTTTCGCCGGGCCCCCCCACCCCTATGGGACAGGCCCTGCGCGGCACCGAGGGTGCCAATGAAAAAAGCGCTCTCCGTGGGGATCGAACCCACGACCACACGGTTAAGAGCCGTGCGCTCTACCGACTGAGCTAGGGGAGCTACGTGGTCATGGATTGGTAATGTCCCCTACTCGATAAACTGGCGACTACTTTCCACGGAAAACAGGAGGGTAGCGAACTGGTGCCTTGCAGCGCCGCGTCGAATAAAAGAAGTCCAGAGGACGAAGCTAGAAATTTAGTTGAGTCATCCAAATGTCTTAAAATAATTTCCTTTAAAACGATTCGCGCTGACAATGTACTTCATTCCCATAACTTTGCGCATTTTCGAGCTTTTTTCTGCGCCGCCGCACGCTTTCGGCTTTCTCCCCGATTTCCACGTATGCACCCGCATATGCTTAATTCTTCTCGTGAGAGTTGGATTCTTTTACTATAAATTAATTGAAAATGGCCAAAGTTCCCCATCTAAGAAGACTCGACAGGGTTACAATAATCGGCACGCAGGAATGATAACAATGGCGCTCGAGTTGAAAATACGAGCTTCGGCCATGTCCCACAAAACTTTGGTTTTTATTTTAAAGTCAGCAGAAGCTGATTTATTAACAGAACAGTCCTCGCCCCAAGTATCCATAAATAATGTTATGGTTCTAGAATGAATATCAGAGCAATTGGGACAAAGTATTTTCACCACGGGCACGGCCTTCGACAATGCCCCGCTCCGGCGCTCAAATGCCGTTATCAGCAAATCGTTTAAGCTTTTTTCTGCGCCCCTCCGATTGGTTGGCTCTATAATTTTCCCCACAACATCATGCTAAACGCCACTGAAATTTCTAGATATGAACAGTATATTGGGCTCGAAGCCTACTGGCAATTTGATCCCAGAAGAATGTTTTTTTTTACTGCAAAACATAAAGGCGAGGGGTTGCGCCCCCCCCCCTACTCCGCTCAAGTATCTTGAGCCCACCCTCTTCTCCTCTAAAAAAAGAAACAATTGACAAAATTTGCAGGCAAGAGAGTGCCTGAACTGGAACGCTGTGTTGAAAAAGGCAACGTCCCTTTCTATAACCCCAATTGAATGTCCGTGGATTAGACCTAGGGAACCTTCTTTTATGTCATATGAAATATAATGAGAGGACAGGATGTGTTCTGAGAAATGGTGTTACTACTACTAATACCCTTGGACATCCCCCTTGCGCTGGTAAGTATTTCGAAGGTTGATTTCAGTTGTTACTATAATTTTTCTGTCATTTTATAGAAAAATATTGGTTGTATGAATCCGGTACTATGAAAGAATCTCGATCTGTGATATCCTTATGTCCTTCCGGCTTTTCAGATAACTAAATTTCGTACGAAAATTTTCACGTTCCTTGTACTAAAAGTTTGGAAGCTATTCGGATATTAAATCAAGAGTCGTGATAAGTTTTTTTTTGATAGGTCTTTCAAGAAAAATATGATTATAGTCTTTTTGTCTACTTTGTACGCAGTTCTTCAGTAAAATAGAAATACTTTTGCTCGAACTTTATACTAGTCTATTATTGTTGTTACTGTCGTGGCTGTTGTAACCTCTCAAGGGAAACTTCACTAATTCAATTCGTTTAATGGTCCTGTTAAGCTTCTATGCCAGAATAAAAGTGTTACTTCAACTTGCGTTATGCTGCACGGTACTCAGTGCGTAAGTCATCTGTATTTTTCTATAAGCCGAAATTTGTTGACATGATATCCCTAAATAGTTATTGTTGTCACTTTTAATAGGACTGAATTATTTGCCCATTTCTGTTTTTGGAACTCTGCGTTCTTCCAAAACGATGTTTCTGCTATTAAGTTGCTTGTTCTTTAAAGCTCTTTTCATTTGCCTCTTAATTATTTACGTTGGTATGCACCTCAAGGATGTGTTTATTGCCTAACACACGAAGCAGGTTCGAGGAATTTGCGTCTCTAAGGGAAAATGCCAGAGCACTTAGCGATCAGGAGAAGTTGGTTTGTGCGAAAGCTCAACCCCCTTCATCTGTAGAAACACATAAGCAACCATGGAATCCTCCATGGTTACGTGCGTTGGAGGAGTTCTCTACACTTGAGAAGACAGTCAAGGATAAGATTAAAGACCTAGTTGAACGCCAACAAACCTTTTTTAATCCAAATTTCCTCCTAGAGGAGGAAGAAGCTCAACTTCAAAAGGCAATCGACTCATTAACTTTGGAAATTAGGAAGCTAATAAAGGAGCTTGAAAGAATGGCTCTTTCAGATGTGAACCCACGATACGCTTACAAGTCTGATGAACTTATGATTCACGGCAATGTCAAAAGGTATTTATGCTCTCGATTAAAGGAAGTAGGTCAAGTATTTAAAAATGCTCAGGATCTATATGTCAATCTACTTAAGCAGCGGTGGCGTAAGAAACAAAGGTATATGAAGTTCGGATCTGACGAAACACATGAAATAGTGAGCCAAGAAGAAAGAAGCATTCCTCTTTTCGAAATGGGGTACTCCGAAGAAGATATTCAAGAGCTCATAACGGAATATAAAAAGAATGAAAAGATTGATGAAGAAGTAAAGCAGATTATTGACACACTCAAGGAAATACATGAATTGTTCAACAGCCTTAATGAACTTGTGACAGAACAAGGCGAAAATTTAGATCGCATTGATTGTAGTATCAAGTGGGCTTCTGACTACACCTTGAAAGGAAAAGAATCCCTTAAAAAGGCTCAAGAGTGTCAGAGAAGCCACTGTGCTTTAATGTAAGAAAAGGAAAACAATCTGTAGGTCGACAAAGGAATGTGTAAAATATGACAACATATGGTTTATTATTGTACATCGTAAATTATCTCAAAGTCACAGTTTTTTACTATGGAAGTGATGTCATTTTTTATCCCGAAGTATTTATCTTGTATTCGATGAAAGCCTATGTTTTTCAATTTATATCTCTCGAAGACCCCTTTCTATTTTGCCCTAGTTAAATTAAACGAACACAAAGATGCGGGAGTTAACCGAAGAAGAGACTAAAAAGCTTTTCGAAAAGCTAACCCAGTATATCGGAGCAAATGCTCCACACCTCCTCGATCGTAAGGGTGAAGAAGAACATGTGTTTCGTCTGCACAAGGGTCGTATTTGGTATATGCCACTCCGCCTTGCTAAGCTTTCTAGTTGTGTTGCCAAGTCTAATCTCATGGGAATCGGCGTATTGTTTGCAAAGGTGACTCATAGTGGTAGTATCCGTATTCAAGTAACTGCACTTGAATACATTGCACAGTATTCTCTCTTCAAGATTTGGATAAAGCCTAATCAAGAGCAAAAATTTTTGTATGGGGGTAATGTCACGCGTGCAGGTCTCGGACGCATTACAGAGTCTACTCCAAAGTATCAGAAAGTAATCGCGTTTTCAATGGGTGACATTCCTCTTGGTTTTGGGGTTGCCGCTCAGAGTACCTTAGAATGCCGAAAGTGCGAAATGAATGCCCAAGTCCTCTTCCATGAAGCCGATATTGGTGAATATCTGCGTAATGAGGCTAGAATGACGTAAAAAGTATACGCGTTATGCCTGATAACTGTGTGAATGTCGATCAACAAATAATATAATTCTAGCATTAACATCGAATAAAACTGTTACCAAATGGCATTTACTATTTAAAAAAAATTGTTACAATATTCCTTCAAAGGGCATAAATAAAAATTTCACAAAGTTCTTCAAAAACCCTTTATGTATCTCCAACTTTTTTACGCATTAGCTTGCGTTACTTAGACCAATACTTTAGTTTTTTACTGAAGGGTAAAACGATAAATAAAAAGGCGATTAAATGTCTCTTCCTGTGAAGCGGTCACTTGACAAATTGGAAAAGCAGCTTGTTCGAACAGCCCGAGGTTTTTACGATTACAACTTTAGGCAATATTTTGTCCGAAAATCTAAGGACGATATTGCAGCTGCTAGGAATTTAACCACTGAGGAACAAGAACAATACCTTCAAGCAGAAGGACGAGAAATGCTCAAACAGATGAAGAGGATGGTTTTGGTGAACCGTATGTATGGTTCGCAGCCAGTTTTTTTGGACCGGAAAAAGGATGGTTCCCCTATGAATCCCCAAGAAAAAGAATAGAGAGCCCACAGTAAAAAATGTTGAAAAGTTTTCCATCAGCTGAGTCTATCTTCTCCACATATTATTAGGGAACGTTTACTTTATATGCTACTATACGTCAGTATTTGGAAAGGTTAGCACAATGTTATCAGAAGCAACTTTGCTCTATAACTTGTGATTTGCTACTAGTTTCGTTTTTTCATAAAATTATAAACTCATCACAGTCATCAGTAATTATCTATAAATTGTTTATCCCCCGAAACTAATGAAAAGTTCAACGAAAAAATGATCATGCGTATGTGTGCACGCTCGTGCAATCTAACCATAATTATATTATTCATTTTGAGTGCTTCTTCATGGATTACATGTTTCTTATGTTCACGATTCAAGTAAAGTAAATGCTTTAGCGTTCATAACTTTCGTTTCGCTGCTTTCTTAATGGCATCTTGGCTTCGTTTGACAGATGATGAAATTAAGCAGCGAAGTGACCATCTCATGCAGACCTCTTTGCACATGTATTTGAAGCATGACACAACCTTGTCTCCTTCAGCTGTCTTAGTTGATCTATTAACCTCACCGTTGCGTATGGTGTCTTCCGGTTTCCAGTGCTGTGACCGTATGCTGCGCGAAGCCAATGTTGGAACCAGCCATAGTGGTGGCTTTCCTACAGGGACTCTCACGGAGTTCTACGGTGCTTCATTGAGCGGGAAAAGTTACATCCTTCAATATGTCGCTAGATCCTTCATCCAAAAAATGCTATCCATGCAACAACTGTATGAAACTCAAAACCGGTTAAATAAGGAGGAATCATACGTGCCCAAGAAGGAAAAACAACAAAAGTTTAGACGTATCCATAGCATCGAATCGAAGGCAGCAACAGCGTACTCTCGCAGCACTAAAAAATATATTGCTGAGTTTCTCGAGTGGGATGTGTATATATGCCTGAGTACAAGTCAATTACCAGAGTCCAGCACGCAAGCAACCCAAGGATGTGGACAAAACTGGTGGAACTTATTGACAGAACAAAGCGCATGGGGCCCCGAAAAAATTTCCTATGTCAATGAGCATATCCATGTGGTTACCATGCATCATCCTAACGATTTATTAGACTTCTTGTCATTTTTGGATAAACAACTCCAGGTGGGCTTTATCAAAGCCCATGATCAGGATAAGCATAAAAAGCAAAGGCATCATTCCAGTGCAGAGAATGCAAGTCTACGAGGTGTATCTGCGTATGGAACCTGCACAGGAGAGCGGTCAACAGATTACTGTTCAGTTCATCAGTTTAATGCCGATAAACGGGAATCTAGAGAGACATCTACAGGATGGGATAGCACTTTACATACGTGCGGATACTCACCAGATAAGGCTACAAATTCTAATACAGAATACTCGCCCATGCAACCCCAATCTCAGAAGTCAAATGAGACCAATACGAGCGTACATTTCTCACAAAACAGATGTAGTGAAAAAACGGCCAATTTTCAACCAGTAGTTGATGAAGAGTGTGCAGATGCAAAGAATGTGGAAATGTCTCCCCGTAGCCCCAATTGTGAGGAGGGAACAGAAGCTTCTCTGCATACTTCATATGAGCGCTATACATGTTGTTGGAGGCAACAGCGGAGGAAAAAAAGTGTCTTAGTTCTTATTGATTCCCTATCCTGGGTTTGGCAGCATCCAGCACTCCAAAGCAGTGCTGACCTTGGCAACACGCATCCTATGAACTGGTACGCAGCGGAGCTCCATCGGCTGCTGCGTGTGTGTCTTCAGCCTCGCTTTGTAACCCTCGGTCCTAAACCAGAAGAGATGAAAAGTGAATCCTCTCCCATATTGCATAATGAAATACAGGAAATTATAACCACAGCTATTGTGGCCAATGGATGCACCCTTCAAGGCCCTTTCGGCCGCACCCCTCCTTATCTTGAAAATAGCGGAGCACCGCTAACGGATGAATCAACAGGATTTAAAAAGAGCAGCAATGCTGTCCACGCAAGTAAGATACATTTGATGCCTCAGGCGAAACCTCTTGGAAAAGAGGCGTGGTGGGCAGCTCCAGACTACCGAATTTTTCTTGAAGTGGTCGATTCACGCGCGCTTGGGGACTCAGCAGTGGGAGCCATCAATGTAAAAAAGCCCAGTTTCGACAAAGATATGAATAAGAAATCAAACGAGCACAGCATCTCGAGAGGAAGTTTTAATGATGGTATTAGCGACGCGTATCATGACGATGGTAACAGCAGGAGCTATGAGAAGATTACTTTAGGCCACACTAACGGGAAACCACGTTTTAGGTCTCGTTTATATCTGGTAAAGGGTGGAAGTACTCACGCCACATGCATGATGCCGTATATGGATAAATATCAATGAAAAAGATAGCGTTGGGATCTGATCCAAATGACCACGTGGTCTAAAGTGAAGAAAGCAGGTGATTTATATAATACTGCTAACTCAGTGGTTAAAAGTCACGCATTTTTGTCCTTAACTTCTTTATAATGCCGTTAATGTCATTGAACAGGTAATAATCGTAGGTGTAGAGGTGCATGAACATGTTTCATACTCTCTTGAGGAACTTTTTCATTTCATATTCTTTGATCGCAAGTCGAGAGTTTGTTTTAATCAAACCTTGCCCTAGGTGTGTTCTAAGGTATAGCAAAATTCTTTACTAGACAGGTATTTCAATATTTCTATACGAGATCTACGTAATTGTTTTCAATTTCACCTTCTTTAATACTTTTTGTAACAGGATTTTCTATTGTTTTGCCATTTGAAGACACTATACTTGATACAACTATTAAGAAAATATATATATAAACATGTCTACGATACGGATTGGTGACCTCGTTATTCAGCTCCCTTCAGATGTGCGTAACTTGTTTAACCCGTCCTATGCGTTCGGTGGCCGCAGCTTTGGCGCCGTGATTGGCCTACGCGACACACATTCTGGGGTGATTTTGCTCCCCATGGATTCCGAAGGGAATCTCATTGTAACGCCAGGCCACAGCTACGACGTTGTTCTCATCACTGAGGTAGGAAATAAACGGATGTCACAGAATGATGATCATGGAAAACGGAAAAATCATAGCGGAAATATACAGAATATGGATCAAAGGAGCGCCATTGAGGAATCACACTCGCTTCCGGGAGTAGCTGCAACGCCCTTTTCACCGGCCGAGTTCAAACGCGCCGGAGACAACCCAAGAGGTCACCCCATGAAGGCATTGGTGCACAACACAGAGAAGAGCAATGAGATCCCGAACGACGCCCCCTCCGGACGAAAGCGGAAGAGGCAGAACCGGCGGAACAAAGCCATCCTGTCTGTCCCGAACCCGACGGAGCCCTCCGCCCACGACGAAACCGAGGCCTCGATGCCCACAGACACCACCCGGATGATCCCCCGGACGGAGGACCGCACGCATAACGATGAAGCCACCGGCCCCCCGAATTCCCGCGCGAGTCGTCCCCATGCCGACCTCGGAACGAAACCGCCGCACCCCGACGAGCCCGCGCCGAACCCGACCCCTGCTGGACCCGCCCCTTCCTTACGGGAC